TGTTCCTGCCACTCGCACCAAGCCAGGGGTGCGAGTCGTCAGCCTGGTAAGGCCCGTCCCTCCTCCACGCACCAAGCCAGGGGTGCGAGTCGTCAGCCTGGTAAGGCCCGTCCCTCCTCCACGCACCAAGCCAGGCGTGCGCGTCGTCAGCCTGGTAAGGCCCGTTCCTCCTCCACGCACCAAGCCAGGGGTGCGCGTCGTCAGTCCAGCACAACCCGTGCCTGGGTCACCGGTGCCTGGTAAGGTACCGGTCAACTGCTCCACTATGGAGCTGAAGCTAACCGCTCCTGCTAAGTCCAGTTCGGCTCCAGCCGGCGGGGCCAGACTGGACCAGGGGCGCTATGGGGGGTGTATTGGAGGGTGGTGGTCAAGGCCGGAGCCAGAACCGCCGCCGAGGAGGTATGCCCACCCAGCCCTCCCCTGTTTTGCTCTTTTTGAGGCGCGGTCGCAGTCCGCGCCTTTAGGGGGGGGTACTGTCACACCCTGGTTCTGGGACTCCATATGTTGAGCCAGGGTGTGTTCAGTCTATGTGGTTTATTTCTATGTTGGGGGTTCTAATTTGTTGATTTCTATGTTTTGCCTGAGTGACTCCCAATCAGAGGCAACGAGTGTCAGCTGTTGGCTGGTTGTCTCTGATTGGGAGCCAAATTTAAACTGTATGTTTTCCCTTTGTGTTTGTGGGTTTTTGTTCCGTGTTCGGTCATTGATACCGTTGGACGTCACGAGTCGTTTCTTGTTTTGTGTTTAAACTTTAACTAATTAAAGTATGTTTGTTCATCACGCTGCGCCTTGGTCTGTTCCATATGACGATCGTGACAATAATAAGAAGATTGTGGGAGCTGTACTGTTGGATTTCAGTGCAGCCTTTGGTATTATTGACCATGTTGAGAAAACTTATGTGTTCTGGTTTTTCAACCTCTGTTAATTGTGGATTCAGAGCTATCTATCTAATAGAACTCAGAGGGTTTTCTTTAATGGAAGCTTATCTAATGTCAAACGTAAAGTCTGGTGTACTGCGGGGCAGCTCTTTAGGCCCTCTACTCTTTTCTATTTTTACTAATGACCTGCCACTGGCATTAAACAAAGTGTGTCCATGTATACTGATGATTCAACCACATACGCATCAGCAACCACAGATAATGAAGTCAATAAACCCTTAAAAAGTTGCAATCAGTTTTGGAATGGGTGGTCAGTAATAAACTGGTCCTGAACATCTCTAAAACTAAGAGCATTGTATTTAGTGTGAATCATTCCCTAAGTTCTAGACCTCAACTGAATCTGGTAATGTATGGTGTGGCAGTTGAACAAGTTGAGGAGACTGTAATCTAAGGTAACACCAAGTAACTTAAACTGTCATGGTCAAAACATATAGATGCAATGGTTGTAAAGATGGGGAGAGGTATGTCTGTAATAAAGAGATGTTCTGCTTTTTTGACACCACACTCCACAAAGAAAGTCCTACAGACCCTAGTTTTATCTTATCTTGATTATTGTCCAGTCATATGGTCAAGTGCTGCAAAGGAAAAACCTAGTTAAGCTGCAGCTGGCCCAGAACAGAGTGGCACATCTTGCTCTTCATTGTAATCAGAGGGCTAATATTAATACTATGCATGCCAGATACTCTTGGTTAAGAGTTGAGGAAAGACTAACTGTGTGTCACTTCTTGTTTTTATAAGAAATGTTAATGTGTAGGAAATTCCAAATTGTTTGCATAGTCAACTTACACACAGCACTGACACACACACGTATCCCACCAGACATGCCACCAGGGGTCTTTTCACAGTCCCCAGGTCCAGAACAAATTCAAGGAAACGTACAGTATTATACAGAGCCATGAGTGCATGGAACTCCCTTGCATCTTATGTAGTGCAAGTGAACAGAAAACCTGGTTTCAAAACGAATAAAGCAACACCTCATGTCACAACGCCTTTCCCCCATGTGCACGTGACAAAAAAAAACTTGAAACAAAGCTGGAACATTTTGTGTCACTTTGATAATTAAGTAGAAATTGGGCACCAGTATTGAATTTTAAAAGGTTGTTATATTAAAGGAAGTGCCCTTTACTATAGAAAACATGGAAAATTCAATATATCAGCTTTTTAATATGAATAAAGACTTGCTAACGTGCCAAAGTCCAGCATTTTCACATATCCCTAGTCATTTTTCTCCTAATTATAGGAAGGTTTTAACCCACTTAACCCCAAAAATGTATACAAGTGTTCACCATCATTGTAAAGTTATGTTCTTGCTTTGGCAAAGTCATTTCTGAAGAACATTATTTATTTCAGGTAATTAGTGATTAATTTACGTCTGTACCTCAAGGTCAAACCTGTTACGTGAACTGAACTCTCATTGTGATATGGTGAAACTATTTCTTTTGAAATATTTATTTTCAAAAGAAACATTGAACATAATAATAGTCAAATCATAAAAGTAATAATAGTAATAATGTAAAAGCAGACCTGGTTCTACTCTTTTGGCCATTTTCTGGTGTTTTGTGTTTGAATACTGAGCGCGTCAACCATGATATGTCAACCCTGTTACCCATAGATAGATCGGCTAGAAATGTTTTAACAATACATAAATAAAAAGTGAAATGTGCACTCAATTGCCCCTCCCTGTTGCACTACAAGCTTCCATTCTCCCTGTCACAAGCAAATGTATGGCTGATTTAAGTTGAAAACCTCAACCTATGACAGTCAATCCTGTTACTTTAATTACACTTTATTTGCACTTAGTATAGTCTTTTCTTTTTTGGGGATATTGGAAAACATGTTTTTATGTAGTTGAACATGTGCTCTTTATGACAGACTTAAAATTTGGTGAAATAAAAAAAAAGATTTGGGACCACTACCCAACATTTACATTATTCGTGGAACGACCCAGCTACAGTATAGATACAGTTTTAAAGCTGTGGAAATGAGTTGGCGTTGGTTTTAAGGTTAAGGTTGTTTCCTCCCAAACATTTGAATATGTGCTTAACTCCACATTTTGACATACAGGACAGTACTGAATATGTATATACATTTGGTCTTGTGAAATGATACTGCAATCTTTCACATTGGTATGCCTTCTTCACTGCGCAAAATTATCTGTTTTTCTCTGCTCTGATTATTTACCGTGGATTTTAGTTATTATATTATATTTAATAAAATTATATTTAATTATCATTATTATATACCATTTGCTATATTGACATGAATGCCATCTCTCCGCACCAAACAGACAGCCTTTAGTTTGCCTACTGGCAGTGTTGTCTTTGCTTGAAAGTGATCAACCTTCTTGTCAATCCTGATTTTGTTTATGCTCATCGGATGAACACAACACTAAACTTCTCAGGGAGAGGAGGTCTATTCCTCCAATGCGGGCAAGCATGTCTAATGAACTGGGTTTCAGCTGTGATGTCATCCGATACAAACTTAACCATGTGCTGAATCATGAATAATGTATCATGTAAGATGTAATCATTACACGATGGATTGTGCTGACTCTTTATGTTCCTTTTCAGTACAGTATCATAAAAGGAATATCTGTCTTAAATCGTGTAATCATGCCAATTGTTAATTCACGGGGCATCAAGTCCACATCAAAATTACAGCCCGCAGATAGCCAAATCCATCAGTGTACAGCTGGATTTTTACAAATTCTTACACAAATGCAATGAGAGAACAACCTTCCACCCTTGGTCTTTCATGAGCTTCTTGACAAACAATTGAACGTATTTAGCATTGTACGTGTTAAGACATTTCAGTACTATTGTAGATAAAATTGCTGTCTCCAAACCAATATTTAGTTCAGACAGAAAACACCATGTAAATTTGTTTAACCATTTATTAGAAAATAAATGTCAATGCATTATATTAGATCTTGGCATTAGGCTCTGCTCTTTTGGGGTAAATCACTGCCAAAGTAAGCAGCAATCATTAAGATAATAAAATACCTACAGACATTAAACTCGATATACTATCAATCCCCCTGACTGGGCTAGCAAAAACAGACAAGCATATCACGTAATGCATGTTACGGCAACAGCATAATAGCAAGAAAACCCAGAGCATAGCTTGCGTGCGGCAGAGAATGTGTGTGCGGAAATGGTCAACTTAAATAGACCACAAAGTAAAGGTTGAGTGATGAATCTAATAGGTGCAATATCAGCTGATGCTATCAACTAATGCATACTCAGGTTTCCTGTCTGAACTGGTTTCACTTCATGTGAACTTTGTTTTAGTTAGTCGGCACAATCATTGCTCCTTAACTGTAGGTCAGTGTTTGAATGTGCACATCAGATAAGTGTAGATAATCAATTTTATCCCTGAAGTCCTTACACAGCTCTCTGGTCTTGGCCATTGTGGAGAGGTTGGAGTCTGTTTGATTGTGTGGACAGGTGTCTTTTATACAGGTAACGAGTTCAAACAGGTGCAGTTAATACAGGTAATGAGTGGAGAACAGGAGGGCTTCTTAAAGAAAAACTAACAGGTCTGTGAGAGCCGGATTTCTTACTGGTTGGTAGGTGATCAAATACATATGTCATGCAATAAAATGCAAATGAATTCTTAAAAATCATACAATGTGATTTTCTGGATTTTTGTTTTAGATTCCGTCTCTCACAGTTGAAGTGTACCTATGATAAAAAATTACAGACCTCTACATGCTTTGTAAGTAGGAAAACCTGCAAAATCGGCAGTGTATCAAATACTTGTTCTCCCCACTGTATGTGATGTAGCATGCAATTTTCTGACACCACTTTTGGCTTGTGAGCCTCTACTTTCAACTACTGGCTAAACAGTATACACAATTACCTAACATAATCTCTTAAAAAATTTAGCAAAGGTCACATGATCTTTCACAGTTGTTCTTCATCTGTGTCATCTGCTCCACCTTCAATTGCTTCTGGATGTGGCTCTCCAGCATGTTGTCCTCTGTTTTTTCACAGTTCTGATGAGGACCGTCTTCCTCTCCGTCACCTCCACTGTCTGTTCCTCAGGGGTGAAGGTATCTTCTTATCCACCTGCACCATTTCCATTGCCTCCACCGTTTTCGTTGCCTTTACCATTTCTGTTTCCGTTGCCTCCACCGTTTCCATTGCCTCTAACAATTCCACTCAATGCCATTCCTCCAGCCACACCTCCAGCCATACCCACACTCATCCCAGAGCTCATCGCACTCTTGCTGCTACTCAGAGACAAGCCCTTGACCATGTCGCTGAGTCGCGAGTCCTCGCCTTCAATCAGTATCATGTAAGTCGTGATCTCAATCTCCAGAGACATGTTGATATTCAGAAGGTCCTGGTACTCGCACAGGTGGTGAGCGATCTTCTCCTTGGTGGTTTTCAGCTCAAGCTTCGGGGCCTCGATCCTGGCCTGCAGATCTTTCAGTTCCTTCTTGTACCTCTGTTGCTTCGTGGATCTGTGCTTCGAGAGCGTTGTTTATGGTCTTCAGAGCATCCAGGTCACACTCTTTGTTTTGGATATTCTTCTTAGCGCTCGTAATTTATTCTCTTACACTTCGGGCCTTGTAGATGTGCTTTGTCGTCTTGTTGGTAATGTCTTCAAATTTCGATTTGTACCAGGAATCCATTTCATCCAAGTTTTTGGCTGCGATTTCATCGTACTGACTTTGGATTTGCTTGAGAGTGGCCAAGAGGTCAGAAAGGGCGAAGGAGCTCTGAGCTGCGGAATGACCGGCATAAATCATAGCCATCAGCTCCTCGATTTCCTGTTTCTGCACCCTCTGGAGGAACTCGAGCTCCACCTACAACTGCTCCAGTTGTTTCTCCAGGGTGATAGGTACAGAAGTGACCGCGTCCACATCCGGACAGAATGCTTCGATTTCCAGCTCGGCTGCCTTCCTCAGCTCAAGAGCCTCCTCATATTTGGCTTTGATCATCTCCAGTTGGCCAGCCATGGCCTCCTTAGCGGCGAGGGCCAGGTCCCGTTGGACTCTCATCTTATCTGTGATCTTCATCCGTTCCTTCAGTTGCTGCTCGTACAGCATGCGCAGGCCAGACGGCTTCACACATCGATTCTGGAGGCCTTCAATCTCCATCTCCACCTGCTTGTTCTGCTGCTCCAACAAGGGGACCTTGTCAATGTAAAAAGCTAGCCTGTTGTTAAGGATGACCATCTCCTGTAACTCCCTGCTGCTGTGCTGAGGAATGCTTGGTTCTCGGCGGTAGCTGTGTCGAAGGTCGATAGCGCCCTCCATACCGGCACACATAGTCCCACCAGCCGCGCCAGATCTTCGTGTGGAGGATATGGTCCTTTGGGCCACTGTGCCGCCTCCTGCAGCACCGCGGGCGAAGCTGGCAGATCGGGTACGGGCATCTCGTCGGGTGGGGGAAGGACTGGACACCCTAACCTGGTAGGAGGACGAGCTGCTGCTGATGTCCTCGAAGTGGCAGCGGTAAGACGACACACTTTAGGGGCTTGAATTCATGATGGCAGTGAGTTCGTTTTTCGATCTCTGTGTCTCTGGAGGGGGACATCTGGTTGGCTGTGCACCTCTGCTCTCAACTCTGATAATCTGGGCCTCTTTATACCCAGACAGCCTTGCCAATCCCCGCCCCATTCGTGAGCCAATGTCTCTGGAATTTCTAACCTCTGCAAGATAAAGGGCCTGAGCTGCCTTTCAGATATCTACCAGGTCCCTGTGAGGAGCTGAGTTAGGCCTATGAACCAGTGAGGCAGCCAGGCCCATTAGGAAATAGAGCAAGACATAGGGAAATCGAGAGTATCATTCGTTTCTGTGACCAGATCTTTATTCATTTTGTCATATTCTTTTCTTGGGGGGGGGGGGGGGGTTAGCTCGCATCCACCTGTGGGCTGCCACTCAAAATGAAGAAGAAACATTTTTTTTTTAAAGGTATACAAATACAAAGCATTGATCACCATGATCATACCACAGAGCCATAAAGTAACAATACATTTAGTATGTAAAAACAGTGCTTACTCGGGGCATACTCCTGTGTCAAACAGTTGAAATGGGTGGGATTTATCAGTAACTTGTGACATCATAAGTTCCTAATCATTTTGGTAGACCATTGATATGTGTCCAAAGCTGTAATCACGCTTTCAAAGTTTGCATGTTGATAGCAGAAAAATAAACTTGGTAGACATCATTGGTTAAGGAACATTTAATTCCTGCAAACCATTGTTTTTACAACATTACAGTTAAAGTTAGCCATACATTCTTCTGCAAATGCAGTTCTTTTTGCTGTTCTATTTTCTGTCTGAGCCTGTTATTGCTGGTGATGACATACTATCTCAGTTAGTGTAGTTAACTATATTCCAAACCTTCATTTGTGCAAAAGTAACTCAACTAATAGTATCCAGCTGCAGCCACACATGATATATACATCTGTAGGCAGATATTTTCAAACAATAACAAACACATGAGATGCCAATGCGGACTAAGTCACCTGACTGTGTCACATGTAGCAGCAGAAAGACTCTAATATGTTCACATGTGGAGGACTGCCCATTTGCCAGTACATTTGACACATATATCAAGCTTTAGATGACATAGGAACTTGCTAATGTCTTCAAGGTTAAGTGACAAACTGTAGTGCTTGTTAGAAAAGATTATGAGATATTGCACTCCACAACACCAGGGCTGTATTTCAATGTGTCTTTCCTCGCAGCCTCTTGCCTTCTCAAAACATATTGGAGGGGAACATCCAAGGTCTCTCCCCCCGACCTTCTCCTCCAATGAATTTTGAGAAGGAGGCGAGAAGAGAGGAACCCCGGTATCGAAGACGATTAAGAAACAGCCCAATTTTCTCCTTGACAAAAGTTATTGTCACAGCAAAAAAAAACACGTTACTTTTGTCTTAGTTCAAAACATTTTCAACCTCTATTGCTGCTGTGCAATTATTGTTGCAACTATTAGAGAGTAGGCCTGGACTGTTACTGTCAGTTTCCTACTAATAATTAGGGTTGGCCGATGTCAACCTTTGTCCTAGCGTGATTATGCACCCACAAAACATTGTGATATATAATATATACAGTGCCTTTAGAAAGTATTCAAACCCCTTGACTTTTTGCACATTTTGTTAAGTTACAGTCTTATTCTAAAATGTATTAAATATTTTTTCCCCTCATCAATCTACACACAATACCCCATAATGACAAAGCAAAAACAGGTTTTTAGAATTCTTTGCTAATTTATAATTAAAAAATCAACTGAAATATCACATTTACATAAGTATTCAGACCCTTTACTCAGTACTTTTTTGAGCGACTATAGCCTTGAGTCTTCTTGGGTATGACGCTACAACCTTGGCACACCTGTATTTGGGGAGTTTCTCCCATTCTTCTTTGCAGATCCTCTCAAGCTCCGTCAGGTTGGATGGGGAGCGTTGATGCACAGCTATTTTTAGGTCTCCCAGAGATGTTCGATCGGGTTCAAGTCCGGGCTCTGGCTCGGCCACTCAAGGACATTCAGGGACTTGTCCCGAAGCCACTCCTGTGTTATCTTGGCTGTGTGGTTAGGGTCATTGTCTTGTTGGAAGGTGAACCTTCGCCCCAGTCTGAGGTCCTGAGCGCTGTGGAGCAGGTTTTCATCAAAGATCTCTCTGTACTTTGCTCCGTTCATCTTTGCCTTGATCCTGACTAGTCTCCCTGCCACAAAAACATTCCCACAGTATGATGCTGCCACCACCATGCTTCACTGTAAGGATGGTGCCAGGTTTCCTCCAGACGTGATGCTTGGCATTCAGGCCAAAGAGTTCAAATCTTGGTTTCATCAGACCAGAGAATCTTGTTTCTCATGGTCTGAGAGTCTTTAGGTGCCTTTTGGCAACTCAAAGCGGGCTGTCATGTGCCTTTTACTGAGGAGTGGCTTCTGTCTGGCCACTCTACCATAAAGGCCTGATTGGTGGAGTGCTGCAGAGATGGTTGTCCTTCTGGAAGGTTCTCCCATCTCCACAGAGGAACTCTAGAGCTCTGTCAGAGTGACCATTGGGTTCTTGGTCACCTCCCTGACCAAGGCCCTTCTCCCCAGATTGCTCAGTTTGGCTGGGCGGCCAGCTCTAGGAAGAGTCTTGGTGCTTCCAAACTTCTTCCATTTAAGAATGATGGAGGCCACTGTGGTCTTGGGGACCGTCAATGCTGCAGAAATGTTTTGGTACCGTTCCCCAGATCTGTGCCTCGACACAATCCTGTCTCGGAGCTCTACAGACAGTTCCTTCGACCTCATGGCTTGGTTTTTGCTCTGACATACACTGTCAACTGTGGGACCTTTTATAGACAGGTGTGTGCCTTTCCAAATCATGTCCAATCAGTTGAATTTACCACAGGTGGACTCCAATCAAGTTGTAGAAACATTTCAAGGATGATCAATGGAAACAGGATGCACCTGATCTCAATTTCGAGTCTCATAGCATACTTATGTAAATAAGGTATTTCAGTTTTTTTTATTTTTAATACATTTGATACAATTTCTAAAAGCCTGTTTTCACTTTGTCACTATGGAGTATTGTGTGTAGATTGCTGACGATTATTATTTTTTAAATCCATTTTAGAATAAGGTTATAACATAACAAAATTAGGAAAAAGTGAAGGGGTCTGAATACTTTCCGAAGGCACTGTATATGACTAAACCAACATTTGTTAATGTTTATTTTTTAAACTCAGCTAAAATGACAGTTGGGCTATAGCACAAAATCGAATGCAACTGGACAAATCATGACAAAAGATAATGTTATTGAACGCCTGGGCAGTGGCTAAGTGCAGGCAAATATTTTCTAATATTTCTTTCTGGTGGATGACCTTCAGCATGGAGCAGGTTTGTGTGTGTGTGTGTGTGTGTGTATATGTCTGTCTGTGTGGTGCGCTGTTTTGGAGCAGTGACTGTCTGATGAGGAACGGGCTGTCTTACCGTAGTGACATCATGGGCTGGTTAAAAGCAATCTTCCATCATCAGAACTGGATAATTGCTATATTCTAGAAATCTGTCTATCATAAAGATGTGATTAAGAATATCCTCCCACTGGGCAAAAACTGGTTGAAGCAATTGTTTCCACTTAATTTGTCAACGTATGGTGACGTGGAATGTATACTGAACAAAAATATAAATGCAACATGTAAAGTGTTGGTCCCATGTTTCATGAGCTGAAATAAAAGATCCCAGAAATGTTCCATACGCACAAAAGCTTATTTCTCTCAAATTTCGTGCACAAATTTGTTTACATCCCTGTCAGTGAGCATTTCTCCTTTGCCGAGATAATCCATCCACCTGACAGGTGTGGCATGTCAAGAAACTGATGATTATTGGGGACAATAAAAGGCAACTCTAAAATGTGCAGTTTTGTCACACAACAATGCCACAGATGTCTCAAGTTTTCAGGGAGCAAGCAATTGGCATGCTGACTGCAGGAATGTCCACCAGAGCTGTTACAAGAGAATTGAATATTAATTTCTCTACCATAAGCTGCCTCCGTCCAACCAGCCTCACAACCACAGACCATGTGTAACCACGCCAGCCCAGGACCTCCACATCTTCACCTTTTTAAAAAAAATTTGTACCTTTATTTAAACTAGGCAAGTCAGTTAAGAACGAATTCTTATTTACAATGACGGCCTACCCCGGCCAAACCCAGACGATGCTGGGCCAATTGTGCGCCCCCTATGGGACTCCCAATCACAGCTGGATTGTGATTCAGCCTGGAATCAAACCAGGGTCTGTAGTGACGCCTCTAGCACTGAGATGCAGTGCCTTAGACCGCTGCGCCACTCGGGAGCTCGGGAGACCTGCGGGATCGTCTGAGACCAGCCACCCTGAATGCTGATGAAACTGAGGAGTATTTCTGTTTGTAATAAAGCCCTTTTGTGGGGAAAAACTCATTCTGATTGGCTGGGCCTGGCTCCCAAATGGGTGGGCCTATGCCCTCCCAGGCCCACCCATGGCTGCGCCCCTGCCGAGTCGTGTGAAATCCATAGATTAGGGCCTAATGAATTTATTTCAATTGACTCGTTTCCTTATATGAACTGTAACTCAGTAAAATCATTGAAATTGTTGCATGTTGCGTATATATTTTTGTTCACTATACATGGAACATTTTATATTTGAAAAAAGTAAATCAACTGCTGTTTTGAGGGAGAAAGTTCAACCACAGGATTATGTCATCATGGTAACCAAATTTCAACATAGACAAACCTTGTACAAAATATGTTGAATTGATACCTTTAAAATATCAACTCTTCAACATTATATCTTTAACTCTCATCGTAGTTCTTATGTGGTCTTTATTCTTACTTTAAAACATATATATATATATATATATATATATATATATATATATATATATATATATATATATATACAGTGGGGGAAAAAAGTATTTAGTCAGCCACCAATTGTGCAAGTTCTCCCACTTAAAAAGATGAGAGAGGCCTGTAATTTTCATCATAGGTACACGTCAACTATGACAGACAAACTGAGAGAAAAAAATCCAGAAAATCACATTGTAGGATTTTTTATGAATTTACTTGCAAATTATGGTGGAAAATAAGTATTTGGTCACCTACAAACAAGCAAGATTTCTGGCTCTCAAAGACCTGTAACTTCTTCTTTAAGAGGCTCCTCTGTCCTCCACTCATTACCTGTATTAATGGCACGTGTTTGAACTTGTTATCAGTATAAAAGACACCTGTCCACAACCTCAAACAGTCACACTCCAAACTCCACTATGGCCAAGACCAAAGAGCTGTCAAAGGACACCAGAAACAAAATTGTAGACCTGCACCAGGCTGGGAAGACTGAATCTGCAATAGGTAAACAGCTTGGTTTGAAGAAATCAACTGTGGGAGCAATTATTAGGAAATGGAAGACATACAAGACCACTGATAATCTCCCTCGATCTGGGGCTCCACGCAAGTTCTTACCCCATGGGGTCAAAATGATCACAAGAACGGTGAGCAAAAATCCCAGAACCACACGGGGGGACCTAGTGAATGACC